CAGTTGAATGTGGCCGCGGGTGCAAGTAGAGGTCTATGGGGCTACCATTGACTGGGACTTGGAGCCCCCTGAACTCATAGAGGGGGATCTGGTCGAGCTCACGATCCCCGGGCGCAACATTCGACACGTTGACGACCAGTTTGCGTGGAGGTCCATAATCTTGTCYGAGGACGTGTGRCTTTGGACGTACAGAGAGCACCGGCCGGGGCAAGGAGTGKGCGTAGTGAGAGCCTACTTGTATTTGGGACCGGGTGTGGTCAGGGAGGCCGTGGTGGGCCTCGCGACGACAGGGACTAGTGGCACAGTTAGCAGGGCGTTACGCTACCTAGGGGAAGAGGTAACTGCCTTCCGAGCGGAGGACTCGAGTGACTTGTTGACCCTATTTCACGGACTCCCTCCTCTTGATATCACGGGCGAGCTGGTGGTAGCACGGGACGGGTTTTTTCCGTACAGTGTTAGGAGCCTGCGGGCGATAGTTCCGACGTTCGTAGTATAGAGCGTCTTTGGAGGTATTGGTGGAGTGGTCGAGACATACCTGGCCTATCAGGATCTCAAGATCCTGGCGAGAAGGTCTGCCGACCTAGACTACATCTATTATTCGCTCGCAACCGGTGGGCCTCGTTAGGGAGACGAGAGGGTTCAGCTTATAGAGCTGATCCGCTCGATAGACGATGAGTGGCCCCAGTCTCCGTGCGTTTAGGATTGGCTAGACCGTGAGCTCCGAGCAGGCCCCGAGTACGTGACCTGCATCGGGCGGCTCTTCTCAGACGACTGGGAGAGTTGGTGGGGTGAGGACGCCGGGCGACCTCTGATATACAGCCATCAGTTGGCGGAATACTACCAGGGTATAGGACAGGCGCCATACCGCGTCGAGGACGAGTTTGATGACGAGGGTTGGGAGCGAGAGGACGACGAGGACGCCTGGGAGCCAGACTGGGTCGACCCAGAGAGTGAGGTTGACGAGGAGGAGATTGACGTTACAGACGCCCATTTTCTCAGGATAGGAGTAGCAGTCCGGGCGTAGGAGGTAGAGGAGCACATTAGGGCGACGGTTGAGTGAGCTTAGCTACTGATCCTACTCGACCATACTGGACCTGAGTGCGAGAGTTGTCGGAAGCGTTAGCAACGTCGAGAGATGGGGTGCATCGGAGGGAGTAGAGTGATGCTGACCGAGAGTAGGGGAAGAGATGAGGAGTGATTCAGTGGCCTGGTTAGCTTATGTTCTCTCACGAGAGTCCGAATCGTATAGTGTGAGGAAGCTTGTGGGATCCAGAGAGAYGGCRGTTGGATACGACATACCWYTTCCTGTGGCGTTAGAAGAGGCAGAGCGTGTACCGATACGATACTTGGGAACGTGGCTCGCAGAGGGGCTCTTCCTTTGGACAGTGATACTACGAGACGAACGACCCGAGAGGACTCATGATCTAGAAGGGGTCGGACATCTGATAGCGGATAGAGCACACGATTTAGAGATAGGACTGACGCTCGCAGGGGCGAGCAGGAGTTGGAGGAGAAGCGAGTCGTTGGCCAGAGTGATCGTTAATCAGCAATTGGCGAGACTCTCTGGAGGGAGGACGAGTTGGAGCTGCTTGGTATACGGTCCACCACATCCGACCCTCTACCCGAGAGAGGATTGGCGATTCGGACTTCCTACCTTCTTGATAGGGCAGACCTATGGGAGCGTGGATCGTTTGAGGAGAGCAGTGGACCACACACTTTACGCGCTTTGGGAGGGCTTAGCGCCCCGCTTCAAGGAAGTATACTACGCCATTTGTGTGAGGTGGGGGCCGCCCAGTAGAGAGACGCTTGACGACATCATAGACGTTACTAGCTGGGTGGACTGTCTGAGGCCAATCGATCTGATTAGGTACTGCAGGAGWCGGGTAGAGATCGATTACGCGGGGCTAGAGGATGTGAGATTTCTCTTCGAGGCCGCAACTTAGGGAATGCTGGGAAGGACGGCCACGGTGATGCGTGTAGGAGAGCAACTGGTAAGCGCATGATACACTGTGACAGTACTTCTCCGAGCGTAAGTAGACGAGGACTTGACAACGAGGGAGTGCAGACAACGAGCCAGGGATTTGATCCACGAGCGTAGAGCTGATGTACTGGCGCGAGTGACCTTCCAGACCTCGATTTCCTATGATGTGATGATATGGTCTCATGGTTATATGCGCGCGGAACACTACCACGATGAGACGGTAGTGGAGGCTAGAGCGAGGGTGAGAGGATGAGCTGAAAAATGATGTGGACTGAGTATGGAAGAGGGTTGTGTCAGGACGAGGGCAAGTTGCGTAGGGCTGAACTCGTGACGAGAGAGTTAGAGAATCTGTTTAGGGAGGAAAGAGAGATTATCCAGACCTGGAGATCAGACTTTTTGGAGAGGGTAAAGGCTAGAAGCGTATTACACGAAAAAACTAGTGAGCGATCTGCAGAGAGCGAGACAACGGAAGACAAAGTAACGCAGGGAAGTAGCGACAGGACATGAGCGGGACTGCACTACATACGACGGATCGGTACTCATTATATGTGGTCGGGAGACTGGACGGACCATTAGTGTTAGTGATCATTGAACTCCAGCCTCATACCAGACTGTGCATAGTTGAGGAGGCAGAGTGTGTCCGCCGCGCGCTGTGTGAGGCTAGGGGAACAAGACTTTGGATTGGAATAGAAGGAGGACGGAGGATAAAATACGTACTCCAAGTGACACATTTCGAAGGGCGGTCTCGGATAAGGGCATGGTACGAGACGACCAGAGAGGCTGAGAGGTTGAAGATAAGCGAAGCCAGGAAAGCTGGAGAGTTAGGGAGAGTTGTAACAGATGGTGCAATACTCAGGGTGTTAGCCGCTCACGACCGGTACTGGAAGGAATCGATAAAGACTTCAGAGGCGATAGAGGATGGTGGAGATAAGGAGGACTTTGAGAAATTTTATGACATATTTTAGCGGTCGACGATGAGGTTACAAGTGGTTATAGCACTAACTTATCTCAGCTGCTAGACAGATGACCTCGTAGCCGTCTGGGAGATAAGGGAGTGGAAATAGAAATTGGAAGCTCTTGGAAGGATAGTGGATGCTAGAAAGGTCGATGGGCGACTTTGGATGGCAGTAGGAGGGCCTTTAGCGGGCTAACCGATTCAGGACAAGGCAAGGAGAAGTAACAAGGAGGACGGAGATAGACGCTCGGAGACTCTTGAGAGGTGTTGATTAGGAGACGTTGGCTAGGTTTGGGACTGCGATCTGTCTCAAGGATAGAGGTCCTGTCACGGGTGTACTGCAGATCCAGGGAGGCACGGCCTTGTTGGCCGATGCCGAAGGAGAGGTTTACTTAGACACAGGGACTCTTGGGATAGAGGGAGAGCACGAGAATCGCGACCGGTACGGGATACTGGAAGTGGTAATCAAGGCAGTCGAGAGCTAAGATTGGAGGCGGACGCGAGCCGTGACAAGAAAACAGGCCCGGGCTGCCGCAACTGTCGCAGGTCCGGGCTGCAGCGACTGTCATAGGGTCGGGCTGTAACAGTTGACTAGAATACCTAACTGCATCTTCTGGCGGTCCAATGGAACCCGACACGATAGGGCCACAACCGACCACGGGCGAGGCGGGAGAGGAGTACAGGACATCGCCCGATCGAGCTCTGAGGTATCTGAAGGAACGAATTAGGCGAGAAGCACCGCTGAGATGGGCTGACCAAACCAATAACGGAGGGCCCGACGTAAGGGGCGAACCAGTTGCGACAGAGCCGCAGGAGGCTCTAAAGACGGGTACCTCGAGCGGACGACGAGAAGCGAYGAGGCGACGCTYCCCCGAGTAYGAGCGGAGGGACACCATAGCGGACAGGCACAGAGACGACTGGAGAGAGAGTTTGAGGGATTCCTATTGGAGGGACAGAGATAGAGACAGGGCGTCGCCCAGGCGAGTCTTCGACCCCCAGACAGGGGAGTCACATCCGCTCCCTTACGAGAGCAAGGATCGCTATATTATTACGCACAAGACCTCAGAGCCTCCTACCTTTAGGGGCTATGGTATCACAAAATATCTGGAGAAGTGGGAGCTTCACGCCAGCCGGAGTCAGTGGTCGGAGGAAGGAAAATGGACTACGTACAAGAAGAACCTCGTTGAGCTTTACAACTTGGAGGATAACAAGTATTCCATCAAGGACCTTGAAACAATGACTCAAGATGAAGATGAGAGCGTACGGTCATTTGAGATGCGTTTCTAGAAGATCTCTGACGTGCTGATGAAGAAGGGGAAGATCTCAGAGGTCGAGCGCTATACTATCTTCATCGGACACTTGTCCAAATGTAGGCAAAAGAGTATACTTAGAGATCTTCCGCGCGACAGGCTTGATTTCTCAGAAGTCCTAAAGCTCGCCATCAAGGACCTTGAAAATGCCTCAAGATGTCGACCGAAGGATGGAAAATGGCACAGAGTATACTTAGAGATCTTCCGCGCGACTTGTCGACCGAAGGATGGAAAATGGACTACATACAAGAAGAACCTCGTTGAGCTTTACAACTTGGAGGATAACAAGTATTCCATCAAGGACCTTGAAACAATGACTTAATGAAGATGAGAGCGTACGGTGATTTGAGATGCGTTTCTAGAAGATCTCTGACGTGCTGATGAAGAAGGGGAAGATCTCAGAGGTCGAGCGCTGTACTATCTTCATCGGACACTTGTCCAAATGTAGGCAAAAGAGTATACTTAGAGATCTTCCGCGCGACAGGCTTGATTTCTCAGAAGTCCTAAAACTCGCCATAAAGGCAGAGGCAGACGATTACAAGGACTTGGTGTGGAGAGGGATGAGGAGATGTGACTTCTCTCTCTACAAGGAGTATGCCACTGATAGATGTCCTGATTTCAAGGATTTTCCCTGGTCGGAGAAGAATGAGGCTGTGGCTGAGGAAGTGAAGGAGATACGGGACATGGTGAAGGGATTGACGAGACAGGTTACAGTGATTGTGACCACTACAGGGGCCACGGCCTACCGGGACAAACATGGAGGGCCCTATTCACTTCGCTGGGACCGTAGGAACAACAATTCCTGGAGGAGTGTCGAGGATAGAAATCCTCGGACGCTGACTGATTATCGTACGAGGGGAGGAGAGAGAGACGATGAGCCATGGCGACGTAGGGATGATGAGATAGACCGAGACCGCACAGATCGCGAGCCGTTTGCGCGAGCAAGGAGGCTGGATGATTACCCGCGAAGCCCTCGCTATGAGGCCGATCGGGGTAGAGGCGACTCCGCGAACGACGAGATGGGTGGCGCGAACTTGAAAGCGGGGGAGATGCGAGAGAGCAGCGCGACGAGTCGCGGGGGTGGTACAACCGAGGAGACCGACGCGATGAGTAACGAGGGCGATATGACTCGGGGGACCGCCGGAATGATTCGCGAGGGCGGTATGAGCAAGGAGGGTCTGAAGGAGACCGCCGCAACGATTCGCGCGGTCGGAATGAGAGAGGGGGATATGGCGTCTCATCAGAACCATATCCCAAGCCGCCTGACCCCAAAGCAGCCAGGAGTTCGATCTCTAGAAGCGCAGACGACAGACCATCTACTCCCAGGAACTCATGCGTCTACTGTAGAGGAGAATATCATATCAAGAGAGATTGCCCGGACCTCAAACGGGCAATAGATGAGGGACTTGCCGTGCTTGACGACCGCAAGTACGTCAAGTGGGCAGATGGTCTGGGAGATGTATCGATGTTCCCTTCGATGAAGGAGAATGTCGAAGCAAGGAGAGTAAAGCCGAGTAAGGAAAAGGAGCCAGTCAGGAGCCAGAGCATCAAGATAACCTTTGAGGGGGATATGGCGACCACACCCATAAGGGTGGCAGCCACCAAGTCGGAGAGAGGGTCTACATCGAAGAAGACTGACACGGATTACGTGATGACGGAGAAGGACGGGCAGTGGGTCGATGGAGAGGAGGTTATCCTTTCGCCGCGAAAGAGGGGAGTGAAGAAGTTCTTAATGAAKAGTTCGCTGGACGAGATTGACACGGTCGAGCCACTGAGGCGGGCCCTTCGGCAACCCATGCAGTGCTCTATTCTGGAGTACCTGGCGGCATCGAAGCCGGTTCGTGATGAGTTACAGATGATCACGCGGAAGACTCGCATACCTCTATCGGAGGAGGGTCAGGGGGCCCCTAAGGCGGAAGCTTCTACAGTAGCAGTAACGGGGGTGACTTCCAGAGCGGATCGCATGGCGACAATCCTTCTCGATGGAATGGAAGGTGTGCCTCTAGACAAGTTTTATATACTTGGTAGCGGGGCCGTGGAGATGATTATAAACGATGGAGCGGTACTCGATGCTGTGATCGATAACGACAGTGAGGCTGTCATCATAGACGAGGACCTGGCAGTACAGGTTGGACTAGGCCTCAATAGGTCCGAGATAGAGACGGCTGATGGGAGAAAGCAACAGATCACTGGGGTTTGTCACAAGGCAGCCATAGAGGTCCAAGGGGTACGAGTGACCCTGCCTGTCTTTGCAGTCAAGAACTGCAGCTCCGACCTGCTCTTGGGTCGAACGTGGCTGAGCCACGTGCATGCGGTGACGATAGAGCAACCTGATGGGAGCCAAACATTGTTCATTAGGAAGCCAGAAGGGACGCGTGTAATGATTGAGACAGTGGAGCCTCGGGACCCGAGGAACAGAGCAGCTCTCGCTGTGGGTGCGAGACCCAGTGATCAGATTAAGTCGTTACCTATCTCCGACCGTGCGGTGCGATTTCGCGAGAAGAAATATGGACCACTGCTCACAGAGGAAGAAGGTCGGATCGTGGAGGTGGAAGATTTAGGGAGTCGGCTAATAGTGGATGGCAACTCGTACCCAAAGGAAAAAGCTGAGGAATTTGGCGGTGTGGTATCCTTGTCTTTTTTAAGGGCACGACCCCTATGGGGGGCTACCCAAGCGACACAAGCGAGTAGCTCAGAAGGTTAAGCCAGCGGCAGTGGGGCGCGAGCGATCTGCACTGGAAGGGATATCGGAAGAAGAGATCGCGAAAGAAATCAAAGAAAGAAAGAGAAAGGGGCCGCAACGCCTATCGGAGATGGGAATTTGACCCCACAGGAGTGAGAACGTGTGATAGAAATCCTGAAGACATGTGATAAGGCCATAGCTTTTAGTGACGCGGAGCGCGGTAGGGTTGACCCTCGATACGCTAAGCCAGCAAGGATTTACACAATACCACATGTTCCTTGGAATGACGCGGGATGGAAATACGCCCAGAAGGAGAAGGAAGAAGTTATCGCTTTCCTGAAAGAAAAGATGGTTTCCTACGTTGCGGAGCAGTCTGATAGCGCTTATGCTAATCGATGGTTCTTCCTACGAAAGCCGAATGGCAAGATCCGATGGATCCAGGACCTTCAGAACGTCAACGCAGTGACGATACGAGACGTGGGCTCTGTGCCACACGCCGATGTACTGGCAGAAGGCGCCGCAGGTAGGTCGATTTATTCGGTCTGTGATCTGTTCTCAGGTTATGATGAGGTACCGCTTGACCCTAGAGACAGGCACCTCACGGCTATGCATACGCCATTGGGACTAATACAGATGACAGTTGTCCCTATGGGTTGGACGAATGGGGTAGCCGTTTTTCAGAGAGCCATGGTAGTCGTCCTCAAGGACTTCATCCTTGATAAGGTTGAAGTTTTTATGGATGACTTTCCTATAAAAGGGCCAGTAAACAAGGATGAGGCAGAGGTTGCACCTGGACGATGCGAATCTAACAGTCAGCGGAACAAAGAGCCGATGGGCCATCTCGACTATTAAGATCTTGGGCTTTATCTATGACTCGAGGGGACGCCAAGCACATCCGGCGAAGTTAGACAAACTCCTGAACTGACCGTCACCATTACATAGTCCAACCGAGGTCCGACATTTTCTGGGAGTGGTCGGTTACTGGCGTATATTCATACGAGGGTATGCGGAGAAGGCTGAGTCATTGAGGTTAATCCTTCGAAAGACTGAAAAATTCTACTGGGATTCTTCATAGGAACTCGCTATGCAAGAACTTAAAGACGAATTTAAGGAGGGAGGTTGCGTGTTGGGCGTGCCATTCTTTGACGATGAGACCGAGAGACCCTTCATAGTATCCACGAATACTGGACCTTGTTCGGTAGGAGGGTTGCTGTCTCAGAAGGATGCTGAAGGGAAGGAAATACCCTTAAGATTTGAGAGTAGGACACTTAATACGGCAGAGCGAAACTACAGTCAATTCAAGAAGGAAGTATTAGCTGTTCTGCGGTGTCTAGACACGTTCAGACATTATATCTATCGACGACGGTTCATCTTGAGAGTGAATCCCACCGCTGTCGCCTCTGTCCTCCAGAAGGACTTTAGCCTGACAGACCCGACCATTGCACGATGGTTAATACGGATTCGACTATATGATTACACAGTAGAGAGGATATCTGGCACTAAAAATGTCGTAGGGGATGGACTCTTTCGGATCCCTCTTGAGGGAGAGCGCCCGATAGTAGCTGGAGCCCTGACAATGGCGGAGCCAAGACGCGCCGAGAGATTTCTGGTTAATCTTTCCGAGGGCAAGTACCGAACGATCGGGCTATACCTCACGGGAGAGGAGAGTCAAAATTTAGATATCCGGAGACAAGCAGCCCAGTACTGCCTTAGAGCGGGCCACCTTTTCCGAAGGCCAGTAGGGTCGGGGATGCCCGTACGAGTAGTCTGTGATCCTGAAGGGAGGCAGACGATAGTAACGGAGCTTCACGACGGGGTGGTCGGAGGACATAGAGGAGTCAGAGGGACCTACGAAAAGGTACGCAGACTGTACTGGTGGGAAGGACTGTATAAGGACGTCGAAAGATATTGTATGACCTGCGAAGAATGTCAGAAGAGAACTCTTGTGAAATACAAAGAGTCACTTCATCCATCCTATCCAACGCGACCAGGAGAGAAGGTACACATCGATCTGGTGAAGATGCCGAAAGGGGTAGGCAATATGAACTATGTTGTGAACATACGAGACGACTTCACAGGGTTCGTGGACGGTAGACCTATCAGGAGTAAGACGGCAAGGGAAGTAAAGAACTTCGTCCTAGAGTACTTATCTAGGTATGGTTGTGTCAGCAAGATAGTGATGGACAGAGGAGCGGAATTCCTGGCTGACGAGGTTCAGAATGTATTCAAAAGAGTTGGGGCGAGAGTTTCGATAGCCACTGCCTACCACCCATAGTCGAACTCCCCAGTAGAGAGAGGGCACCAGACCCTGATAGCATCGCTATCTAAGTGGTGCAAAGGCCAGGACAGTGATTGGCCACGATATTTTCGATACGCAATTTGGGCAGACAACGTCACGGTCAGGGCTAGCACGGGATACCCTCCATACACCTTGTGGTTTGGGCGGCATTGTCCGCTTCCCATAGAGTTTCACGTCGACAGCTAGACAACCTTCGACTGGGCGGAGGAGATGTCCAGAGAGGAACTCATAGCTGCTCGAACAAGACAGATAGCCTACCGTTTGGAATGTAACCTTATGACAGCGGCAGATCACCTGGCAGTAGAAAGAGACAAAAGTAAAGAGAGATGGGATAAGAACGTGAGAATCAGGAAGGAGAGGGTGAGTGTAGGAGATATGGTCCTTCTCTACGATGCAGCGCTGGAAAGAACCTGGACCGGAAATCTCGCAAATAGATGGATGGGACCTTACAGAGTGGTTGAGGCACTCGAATGGGGTGCATATATGATAGCAGAATTGGATGGATCTAAGTGGAAGGACCCAGTGGCGGACACTAGGTTAAAGTTGTTTAGACCCAGGCCTGCACCCACCTTATGGCTAATGGGCCCCAAAGAAAAGAGGAAGGCTAAGATGGAGGATGGAGATCCCTTGAAACGATTCGAGGCAGGCGAAAGCTCCAAGAAGAGAAAAAGAGTAGAGAAAAGAAAGGTCACAGGGTTAGCTCTAGGAAGAAAGAAGAAATGGTTATTCATGCTCAAGAGGGCCAAACGGAGAGTCCGCATTAGACAAACTGGCGGGACGGCACCCTTATCGGGCCAACGACAGAAAAAAAGAGGATCCTACCAAGGCCGAGAACCCGGCGGGGAAGAAAAGTAAAAAAACATCTACTTAGTCCTAGAACTCAAAACAGACTGAAACATGAGACAATTGAACGCCGACGTGGGCGTCCTTTACGGATCATCACCCTGAAGCTCGTCCGCTTCATCTGACGTAAGTGGGTAGGGCTCAATGGGGGCATCAAGAAGTGGTCCGGGCTAACTGTCAGGCGGCCACAAGCAGTGCGCCGCCTGAAATCTGGGGTTTTGGGTCTTAGGCTCAAAGACAAGTCCGTGTTTTGACGGTGCTCCGGGTAGACCAGGCAGCAAAAATTAGGGGAGCTTAGGGCACCCCTGATTTTGGGCGCGCTGAACTTTACGAGCAACCCTCAAAGACGACGAGATGAGTGGCCGCACTAGGCGCGACCGGGGCCGAAATGAAGCCTCAAATTTTTGCCCATATTAGTACCACAATTAAAGATGGGGAAGCTGAGAGAAATTAGGGGTAGTCAGGTCACCCCTAAATTTCGGATGTCTCAACCATCGAGACTCGCCCTCAAAATTGACGAGAGGGATTACCACTTCGCCGCCCTTACGGCTACCTTACTGACTACCTCATTTCCGCCCGGTCTAGGCCTGTTCCGGAAACGACTGGTTGCAGGGCGGTTAATTCAGGATGAGCCTTGACGAGGCCCTTTTACGGTGTCCAACGGACGCTAGGAAGGGGGTCCCACATTTAATTAAATTTAATATCCAAATTAAAAATGGGAAAAAGAATTGAAGATAAAAGAAAAGAAGGAAAAAGCGAAATACTCATTGATTTATTTAAAATCTTCGATGTTTAACTTTTGATATGATCACCCTAAATTATTGATTTTTCTGACAATAAAAATTAAAAACATGAAAAATAATCAAAAGAGACAAAAGAGAAAAGAAACAAAGAATTTTCGTTATCTAATTGGATTCCATCGGAAATTGTTTTTGATGGATTCGCCTTTATTCTCGATATTTTTGATAAATAAATCAAGAAGTAGGAGAAACAATTAAATATGAAAAGGTGGAAGAAAAGCCAAGATTGTTAACTGACTGGCGTAGTTTAGCTCCAATTATCCGCGATCGGAATTACCCCCGGATTAATCATTTATTCTAATTTTGATGATTTCCGCTATACTGTGATGATTGAGATTTGTACGCATGGCCTGCCTAAATTTCCCTGATTTCCGACTTTACCGTAACCAGTGTGCTATAATTGCGGGATAGACAGATGTGGGGCGTTACCGCTATGTTGTTTAATTGTGCCCCGCGACCTTTTTTCCCTCGATGCAATCCCCGCTCGAGTTTGAACATGTGGATCGAGAGGTTCGATACTATTACGGGATTCAGACATTCTATGGTATTTGACACATTTCATGCACGGTATTGCACCGACATTAGTGTGGCACACGCCTGAAAATCATCCGTTGGTTCGGCTTGGGCGCGACAGTCTGGTTCGGTACAGGTTCGGTCAACGATACGGAACTGGCACCGCAGGCAATATTAATCAAAATCATATCGGGCCTTTGGTTTAGTAACGAGTCACGGGCTCTTGACGACGCTACCGAGTTTTAATGCCCCTGGCTATCTCAAGTCCGAAGTCGTCCTGGTTGGACTGAGTACTCTCTGGTTTGACGCGGAAACAGCGGGGTGGGCCTGTTGACACTTGCTGGAACTATTGCTGTTTTTCGGATTGGTACCGTTGTTTTTCCATGGGCGCGCTGGTACCATTGTAATTCACACGATATTGGACTGTGTACCTGTTCTCTCGGGGGCCTCTGGTCGGCGGAGGCCCATGCTCAGTGCAACATTCCCCATATAGGGAGGACCAGTTGGCAGTTGGGGGGACATGGAGACGAGGGAGCCAGCAGGAGGTATGCAAGGCGTACCCAGCCCACATCCACTTTGGATACAGGCAGGGTAAACGCGCTGGGAACGGGGGAGGCACGGGGCGTGTCAGGCGTCCTCAACACATGGGATGCTCGGAGAGGAAAGCTAGTGGGAACGGAGAAACTTAGAAGAGAAGAAGAGGCTTGCCTGATGGCACACGAGAGGAAGGGAAGAGAGAACGGATACTTGGAAGTTCCGAATCACTAGCAGCACAACCCGACTCACATTTTCACCATGCGGTTTCACAGGCGGCGTCCGAGCAAGGGTGGCTTAGCCTGAAAGCGGAGAATCATTGTCTGAATGTTGGTGATGCTCGATCGCTTAAGCCGCCCTCTTCGCTGTTAAGTTTCTTCTATCAAGTTGTTCATAAAAAAAAAATAAAAAAAATCTAACGGATAAGTTGCCTGTTATCGTTGACACCTGAGTTCGATCCACAGATTCAACGCCAATCTGACCGCTACAACGACCCAGGTACATGGTAGAGATCAGGTGCTGATCTCCCCGTTTCACCAGACCCCATACACGGAGAGAACCAGGGTTTGACTTCGCTGCTTGCTGCTGTTCAAATATATGCCGAATATTTGAGATTTAATCTACTCGCAAAAGCAGACCAGGTACATGGTAGAAACAGGGCGCTGAATTGCCCGTTTCGCCAGTTCTCACACCCGGAGAAAATCGGAGATGATTTGGTTGTTGCTGCTGCCCGAACACCTATTGAATATTTGASATTTAATCTACTCGCAAAAGCGGACCAGGTACAKGGTAGAAACAGGGCGCTGATCTGCCCGTTTCGCCAGTTCTCACACCCGAAGAGAATTGGAGATGATTTGGTTGTTGCTGCTGCCCGAACACCTATTGAATATTTGAGATTTAATCTACTCGCAAAAGCGGACCAGGTACATGGTAGGAACAGGGCGCTGATCTGCCCGTTTCACCAGTTCTCATACTCGAAGAAAATCGGAGTTCATTTGGTTGTTTGCTGCTGCCCGAACATCTATTGGATATTTGAGATTAAACTACTCGCTAGAGCGACCCTGGTATATGGTAGAGAGCGGGCGTTTATCTGCCTGTTTCGTCAGTCCTCTTAATTGGAGAAGTACGGGGAACGAATTTGTTGTTGTCAAGGCGGGAATATATGACATAAATCTATCCGGTAAAGCGGTCAGGACGCACGGTAAAGTCCGAGCGCAGATTTGC